ATCCCTTATCCCCCCATCACAAGAGAAATCAGAAAATACCTAGAGGTGAATACAAACAAAACCCGCCATATATCCAAAACTTACAGACTCGTACAGAGGTTGTTCTCAAAGAGAAACTAGTAGCCTACATTTAAAAAGAAGAAAGAGATCACAAGTAAGATAACTTTATATCATGTAGAACTAAAGACACCACACAGTTTACTACCCAGACATCATTCCAAACACCAAAGGTGGTGTTTAAAAAGAAGCCAAAGCTAGCAGAAGGAAGGAAATGGTAAAAATCCAAATCAGAGACAGTTTTAGTACATAGAAAAATGGTGTAACACCAACAGGAACTCGCGAAGAGTTCTTGAGAAGAACCTGAGCAGGTGAAAACATTAGCATGCCTGAGCAGAGTGGTCAGGAGAAAGGAGAGCAATGTGTAAACAGAACAGGGGAAGGGGGAGATGTCACTGTACACTCTACAGAAGTGTGGAAGGTGGTGATGTCATTCCACACCACACAACAGGAGCAAAGGTGGAGCTATCACAACATGTCATATACAAGTAAGGACTCAAAAACTGTGATGTGAACAGTTGCATAAATCTGGATTAAACGGGGGAAAATCCCTTCAGGAATGAGCGATTGCTGACATGATTAATAATCAGAAAATGTTAATAGGCATATTACAAGTTGATAGCGAATCTCATTTCAAAATCTCCCAAGACAAACATCAAGATTAGATGGCTTTACTGGTGAATTCCATCAAATCTATAAAGAACAAAAACCAATCCCCCTTGACTCTCCCAGAGATCAGAATAAGAAGGAACATTCTCCCTTACATCCTTGGAGGTCACCGTCATACTGAAATCAAAGCCGATAAAGAGATTACAGGAAAGAAAACCACAGGCCAATAGTCCTTGTGAACATAGATGCCGAAATCCTCCCCCAAACAGTATCAAACCTAGTGCTATAGCCTATTGATTGGGTGAAACATGTGGCCCAGTGGGACCATTCCCAGGCATGTGAAGGAGATTCCACATAAGAAAATAAGCCCATCAATCAGCATCATATTAGGAGGGAAAAACTGTACCTGAACATCTCACCTGCACAGGAAATGCAGCCGAGAAAACTCACACACTTTCTCAGAAAGCTGGACTAGAAGGGAACTTCTTCAACCTAAGAAAGCATATTTATGAAACCCTACAGCTGATACAGCCGGTCTCTGGCTCAGCACAATACAAAGACAACGCAGTCACGGAAACACCGTAACGCCCCTGTGTCTGCAGCTGAGAACGTGGGACTGAAATGCGTGTAGCAAAGGCTGCAGAAGGCGGGCAGGCGGGCGGGCTGGACGGCTCTGTTCCCGTGGCTGGAGATTGCCCTCTGCACATCCAGGAATTCAGGGAGGGCTCCACCCATCATCAGAGCTGATGGGCATCTGATGACAGCTTTATACACATACCAGGACAGACTATATCCCAGCCCCAGACCCTAGACAGAGTGCTGAACATTAACTCCAAGTAGGTCACATGCATAAACATAGAACACGCAACTCTACAACTGTGTGTTCGAAGCAGCCATAGGGGAGAGTGGGAGGGGGAACCTCAGGTCTGGTGACCATTTTTCAGTTGTCATACCCAAGACGATTAAGAAAAGAAAAGATTGACTGTTTTACTTGCGTTAAAAATTAGCATCTCTGCTCTGTGGAAGACATTGCTAAAATGAAAGAACAAACCAACAGTTGGATATCTGTGTAAATCCCATATCCTACAAAGAACTGTACCTAAAATGTACAAAGAAATCAAAACTGGGGGGGCTAATAAATTAAACACGCAGGCAGATGTTTAGAGGCTCCTTGGTTCTAGGGGAAAGGTCTACTGCATATTGGGGTATGTAGGTTCCATGTCAGAGAATGAGAACTCCAACAGTGCTGACAGCTCAGTGATGTACTTAACACTGGAAATGGGTGAACTGGCAGATTTTGTTTTACTACAGTGAAAAATGTTTTACAAGGGAAAATAAAACACTCATGCCCTTCGACCAGGCGTGTGAACTTGGAATTGTCAAACACACATATGACCACAAGCACAGAGGGGAGCTCTTTCTCTCACCATGGTGCGTAGGAATAAAAAATGGAATATGAGCTGGGTGTCCACATAGAGGAAACTGTTACTTTGCTGTTCCTCTGTGTCTGCTCCCGGGACAGCTGAGGTACTGGTAGTATGAGGGTGAGTGAGGCCAAACTACCATAATGCATGGATTGGTTTCACGGATACTGTTTCCTAAAGCTTGATGCAGACTTAATGCCTGACTTGTGCTCCCTTCGGAATAAATGGGACAGAGGCTCGACTGAGCATGTGCACAGTGGTCTCTTCACGGTACCACTTATTCCTGCCTGGGAAAGGTCAGAGACAAATGCTGAACACTGTGTCTTGGGGAAATGTCTGTTATCTGTGTGCTTCACAGATTCCGGATTTCTTCGAAAATGAAAAGCCAAGAGTCTGACACAAAAGTGGCCGGTGGCCAGGAGCCCGTAGACCCCATCCCCAGGAGCCAGATTATTGTTTACGTCTCCTCTTTTACAATGCACAAGCACTGTTAGCATTCAATATTGAGTTAACAAATAAAGCAAACCGCTGTCACTTTAGAATAAGGCGTCGTTGATCCTCTCCACTTAGATGCCTCAGGACTCCATCCATGAGTAAACACAGCCTCGCTCTGCAGGTGACTGCCAGCCTATCCCTGTTTGCATATACTCTGGGTCTGGCTCAAAGTTAATAATGTCCTTTACAAAAAATCAGGAATGATCACTCAATAGTGAGGATAGATGAGCCGTGGTATGTTTGTCCTTTTTCACCCATGGGACATGATGCACTCTGAGTTCAGTCAGGAAGATGTTATAGGGGATTTGTATAGTATGTCATGCCTACTGTCTGTCTGTCCTGGAATTTAGTTTTTTAGTCTCATATACATAAATGGGATTGTTTCAATCAAGAAAATGCTCATGTTTTTCAAAGATTAAAAGGATATAAATTCTGAGTCACACAGTGAGGAGAGAAGGAAGCAGACCCAGACCCACCCAGAGCAGAGGCTGGGTCTCTCTAACTATTTCTGTCAAGCCAGTAGTTAAACGCTAGAGGTTCAAAATCCACCTCACTTCCAAACACTGACGAGTAGTTCTCTTCAGAAGATGATAAAACAGTACAGCCGTGTTTGTTAATGTTAGGATTAGCAATATGGGCCTTTTAACACGGTCACTGCCAAGTTAATTAAACATATGGCTTACTTTGGTAAATGACACTCTGAAAACAGGAATTTCTTCCCAAACTGAAGCCACATTCATGAAATAGCCATTAGAAGTGTCTCTCTCGAAAAACCAAAAAAAAAAAAAAAAAAAAAAAAAAAAAGAAGTGTCTCTGATACACACTTTCACCTTAAAAGCACATTATACTCTCTGCCGGTAAAGAGATCAAAGGCATATGGTATTTTCAAAATCCATTAATAGAATTACACCAGGACCTGTCTGTTTTGTGATGGAAACGTTTGTGGGATTTTCTCTCAGAAGCGCCTTCCTGCAGGCTCGGTGACCTGTCAGCCGCACCCTGCTGATTTGGTTCTGACCCATCATGCCTCCCACTGGGCTCGGTGTTGAAGCAGGTTACGGAAATGGCTACAGAGCTTGGCTCAGCCCCTGTACACAGGCCTCATCCTTCCCTCCCTGGCTTCTGTGAGGTGTCTGTACTGCCAAGGCTCCCTCCCCAGCCACCTCTTCATCTGGGGGCAGGTGGTGATAATCTCTGACTTTTTCCCTCTTCCTGGGCTCCTGAGGAATGCCCACTGGTTCTGTATAGAAGAAACACAAGCCATCTCCCATACATTTCTCCAGGAAGTCCCAAATATTGAAGACGGTTTCTTCATTTCTCATGTACCAACGGGTCGGGAGCTACATTTATTTTGCAGTTACTAATATGGACGCTGGAGTGTCACTTTCTTGCCATGTTTCTTAAGCAATACCTTGCAAAAAAAATGCTCTCTTGGAAAATGACAGCGGGGGACCATGCTTAAAAGCCACATCTTGAGAAGAAGGAAACTCCTAGATGCCAGAGAATGACTTGGAATAATTCCCAGCACTAGATAAAATGGGTGGTTCTTAACTGCAAAACCAGGATGTATGCAGAGCCCTTCTACAGCTGCTTAGAAGTGGGTTCTCTTGTTTTAGATTTGTACTCCTTGAACTGCCCCATTTCAGCCTTGAACTTCTCAAAATCAAAGCAGCAGAGTGAAAACAAACTTGATTTGCAGATCGTTGAGCGGTGCCTGGTTGTTACCTTCTGGCTGTTTTTCAAAGCAAATAGATGATGTGTTCCCTCACAGAGCTGCTCTCTATAAGAGCTCATTACATTCTTCATATCCGTGAGTGCCATTTCAGGGATTGGCAGCAGAGGGGTCCGTCCTGTAGCAGGTCATCCCTGACTGTGGACGTGGAACCCGTGCTGACCTCTGCCCACAGCCAGCGCTCACTGTGAGTTCCTAGGAGTCACTGGTATGGAAAGTGGGTCTCTTGTGCGGCCACCATTGAGCACTATTGAGTACCACACCACTCTGTTACTTTGGAGATGGAAGTGGAGTGGCTGACATAAACACTCTCTGGCATCTTACTGCGCTTCACTCTGCAGACAGCGTGTGGGGAAAGAGGGACAGAGGCAGCGGGAGCCACAACAGCTCACTTCCTGCTCCTCTGTGCTTACAGCATGGCAGATTATGCTTTCGGGTTATACTCCCCTCCAGTGACATACGATTTGAACCCATCTTACTGAAGCAGACATGGTCCTGAGGAGTGTCGGGGTAGGGAGGTCATCTGGGTGCCACTAAAACTGGCTCATGCTCTATGAGTGGATTACTTATTCCCTGGTATTAAAACAGCAGCAGCTAGCTATTTCCAGAGTGACTAAATACAGATAAACATGGTGGAGTTTCTCTGAATCTCAGTTTCTCTGTCTCTGGTACCCCAAACTTACCACTTCTCCGATGCTGGGTAGGAGGTTGTAGTAGATAGTTCTTGGTGGTTCCTTGGGCTTTGGATGAGTAGGAGTTCTTTTATGTTGATTCATGGAATTAATTTTCTCAGCCATTCATTCATTTCTAAAGCATCAAGGCAAACTGATGATAAATACAGGCATTCATTTTCCTTCATAGCATAAACCCTAAGCTGTGCTATGATTCTGTGGATTAGGATTTGTAGTTTCCCACAGCTCTGACAGTGAATCAGACCCACAGTCAGCAGAGATTCAAGTAAGACTGAGCTAATGATAAAGAGGGATTTGTGATGCTGGATGAACACAGAGTTTGAATCTATTACACAGTGAGAGTGAATCCATTACACCTTGAGTGTGAACCCTTGACAGTGTGAATACAACATGGTGAGAGTGAGTGTTACATGCTAAGCGCGATGTATTAAACTGCAAGTGTGGGCCCATTGCACAATATGAATACATTGGTAGTTTGAGTATAGTATACTATAATACTTCACACAGCCACTGCAATGAAGAATTCATGGTGTTTCACATTTTTGAAATATAATTCAGATAAAAGCCAAGTTCACTGAAAAATTAGCACTCTTAAAATGTTCGTTCTCGCCGGGCGGTGGTGGCGCACGCCTTTAATCCCAGCACTCAGGAGGCAGAGCCAGGCGGATCGCTGTGAGTTTGAGGCCAGCCTGGGCTACCAAGTGAGCTCCAGGAAAGGCGCAAAACTACACAGAGAAACCCTGTCTCGAAAAACCAAAACCAAAAACCAAAAACCAAAAAACAAAAAAGCAACAACAAAAAAAATGTTCGTTCTCTTTTTTATTGAAAATAAATTCTTCTCTCATACAATACATCCCTACCACAGTTTCCCCTCCCTGCACTCCTCTTAGCTCCTCCCTCCACCTCCCCTCTCCCCTCCATCCACTCCTCCTCTGTTTCCTCTTCAGAAAAGAACAGTTCTCCAAGAGTCAACAGCCAGACAGGACAAAACAAGATACAATAAATGAAGCGGAAACCCCTTTTATCGAGGCTGGACAAGGCAATCCAATAGAAGGAAAAGAGTCTCAAGAGCAGGCAAAAGAGATACACTCATTCCCACTGTTAGGAATCCCCTCTACACACACACACACACACACACACACACACACACACACACACACACACACACACACACATTATGTACAGCTGAGGCACATCAGAAACTTTAGCAACAAAGAAATATCCAGTAGAAAAACCTTGGCTGATCCATCAAGGATGGGGATGCTATAGGGAGACTCTGACTTTGTGGTATTCTTCCAGCTGGCAGTGGCTCTGTGCCCACTCTGAGACCAAGACAAGCCCTATCTCATGGCCATGATTGGCCAAGACAGTTACTCCCTTGCAATATTTCTCACCTTCCCATCTGTGTGTACAGCGCTACTCACCCAGTACAGTATGATAGTTATAATTGTGGGTCACTATATGTGTCTGCCCCCCCCCATAGGTAATAAACTGCTGGGAAGCAGGCTTTCCAGTTGAAGCAATTCACCTTTATGCCTGTCCATGTGGTCCACAGGCATCTGATGTTTGACAGTATCAAAATAAAAGAATGAAAACCCTTTAAAAGCAGCTGTGACATACAGCTTAACCCTAAGGAACAAGTCTGAGCCACACATACTTTTTGGTCTGTAAGTCCTGGTTCACTTTGTGGATGACAAGAGATATCCCTACTCCATTTCAGCAGTTTCTTTTGGGGGAGAATTGGGGGAACACTGATTGGCCCACACTGCCTTTTTACTCTGTGGTGTCATAGGCAGCCGCTGTCTGGTGGAATGTCATGAAACAACTGAGAATCATCAGAGGTAACTGGGGCACTGCCTGCTCGGGAGGCTGGGGATGTCTTGGTGACTGAGGGCAGTGTTCCCTGTGGTGCTCTGAGGTGAGTTTCATGTGCCGTTTTGCTCAGCTGCCTGTCCTGCTGGTAGTGGTCTGACCCAGGAAGAGCAATGTGTTTTGTTGCACGGGTCTTGTTTTCCACTGTTTGTTCACGGTTGATGCTCTGTGTCCTGATGCTTCACGGGATCAATGGAGTTTCAGTAGATGAAGATGCTGGTGTGTTTTATACTGGATGGATTGGGTTTCTTTTGGCAAGAGGAAGCATGCATCTGAGATGAGTCCCGTAGGAAAAGTCAGGCCCAGGCCTCAGTACTAGGGTCCTCAATTGAGTTAAGAGACAGGAACTGGGTGAGGCAGACTGCTGCTCCCTCTCTGTGTGACATATGTTGTTTGCTGTCTGCATTTCTGAGCATTACTTAACCTTTTCTAAATTAGGATAAACCTTCATTGTGCCCAATAACAACAGATCAATGTGTGTGGCTCAAAAACAAGACCACTGCGCATATCCTCACGTCCTCAGGGGAGTCTGTCTGCGCTTGCTCTCCTGTCTCCTGCTGACTGTGCCTCCATTCCCTGACCCCGAGTCCTCAACTGCCAGACAATTGGACGGATAAGACCAGTGCCCTTTTATAACAGAACATGATTTTCTGCCCACACTGCTGTCTCAATTGTTCTGTTCCATAGCATCCGTTCAGCATGTTCTAGTTTGTAGAGCAAGGATATTCTTCTCACAGTAATTATGTGTGTGAGCAAGTGCCCATGTGCGTGTACTTGCGTTTGCATGTCTGTAAAGGTCATAGGCCAACCTCCCTGTGTTCTTCCTCAGAACCAGTGTTCTTCCTCAGGCGCTGTCCGACTTGTTTTGTGAGACATGGTCTCTGATTGGCCTGTGGTTCACTGAGTAGACAACTGGCTAGCCAGGAGCTCCCGGGATCCACCTCTCTCTATCTCCCTGCTGGGATTCTAGGCCTGTACCACCATGTCTTGCCCCTCCACCCTGTCATGAATGCTGGGTGCAAATGTAGGTCTCTGTACTTCAAGCAATTTACCACTGTACTATCTCTAGACTTTTCTATCACAATCTTAATCATTATATTATTGTGTCTGTTTTCCTTTTTTTTTTTCTTCAACTGTCATGATATGGGGAGCAGAAAGACTTATTCTAGAAAAGAAATCTCATTTGGTCAGGGTTAATTTCTGCTATGCCTTCATCCAGTTCTCAGTCCTTTACTTATTGGGGGCTTAAAATACACATTATGCTCAGCCAGGCATGGCTTCTGTGTTCTTGTCTTTGTGAAGTACCAGAAAAGGAGGGAGTTCTTCTTAGCAGCTGGAAGAAGTATCCGAGAAGCCAGGTGGAGATGCCGTGGGCAAGGGCTTACCCATGAGTGTATTCATTGTCTCTGGGCAGGTGATGCGGTTTTGATAGGCATCTCCCACCCCAACCACCCACCCTTCCACAGCCCCCCCACCACCACCACCAAAATCTTATGTCAGACTCAAGCCTGGTGTCTTGTAAAGACAAACTGTTGAACTTCTGTACAGGGTAGATGGAAGTGTTCTCCCCAGGCGTGTCCTAAGATTTCTAAGGTTTAATCAGATTCTTATGTTTGTAACCAGGCATGGGTTTCGTTCTTTCTCACACCCCCACTTCCTGGGGCCATGTGAATATCAATGTAGATCCGGGACCACCATCTGCTCAGTACACGGGAAAAGATGCAGTGAAAGGGATTAATATGAAGCTTTTCCTTTCTGCTGTGGTCTCGTTTGACTTGTTACAGTTGTGAGTTTTATTTGGTTTTGCCTCTGGGTATCCATCCCTTCTCCCTCCTCCCCTCCCCCTCCCTTCCTTTCTCCTTTCCTCCCTTCCTGCCCTCCTTGTTCCTTTCCTTCCTTTACTCATTAATGTCATTCTAAATAAAGAAAAAATATAAATATTTAAATTATTAGCATGTTTATTATTAGCATAATTTTAGCATTTGCCTTTACATTGTCAACATCAATGTAAACATAAGGAGGCCATTTAACTTGTGTCCGGTCCCTGAGATGTGGCCATTTGTGATCCATCACTGGGCTGCAATTGGACAGGGTTGTCACCAAATGAAGTTCACCACTTTCTTTCCACGTCTGGAGGTTCCATCTGCTTGCAGCATCCTGTGATCTTGCTGAAGGCAAAGCAGGGTGGAAAGAAAAAAAAAAAAGAATCATTGATTTCTTAGGCCATCATTACTTTTCCTAAGCATTCGAAGGTGGGCTAAGCAGAGCGCACAGTACCCTGGGACTGTACTGAGCATCCACCAGACCATCAGACCCAACCGAACTCCCCCTCTGCTCATCGGAAGCCTTGCTGTATTCCCACAGCTGTAGGTCTATGTTTACAGATTTGGGGGAAAAGAAGGACACCAGTGACATGTACTCTACTGCTGGGGAGAGGTCTCCATGGTGACACTTTCTGGACTGGAGAGAGAATGCTGCTGGTGCGCCTGCATCATCCGCATTATTGTTCCATTGAGCTTCATTTACAAAACACAAGATTGAAGGTTAATTATTAGGTATTCTAAGGTGTGATCACAGAGCCTCAAATCAGCAAAAGGCCCAAATCCCAGGGACTGGCTCAGGGCAGAGTCTGTAGAGCTGTGGTTCTCAACCTGTGGATTGCGACTTCTCTAGCACACCTCTGTAGACGAATTTCTAAACGGTCTTATTAAATAAGAAACATGGAGCCAAATATAGGGGTGAACACCTTAGAGATCAGGGAAATAGTGATAGCCACCAGCCTTACCTCTCCAAAAAAAAAGGGGGGGGGGAGTGATGGGGCAATGTCTTTCTGTAGGCTGCGAATTTGTGTTGCTCTGATTGGTTGATTAAAAAAGCCATTTGGCCTATATGGTAAGGTAGCTTAGAGGCAGGCAGGAAATGCAAAGAGAGAGAGACAGGAAGACGTCCAGGAGACGCCAGCCAGATGCCCAAGGAACAACATGTAACGGGACGCAGGTAAAGCCACGGAACATGTGGCGATACATAGATGAATAGTTATGGGCTAATTTAAGATATAAGAGCTTGCAAAAAGCTTGAGCCATAGGCCATGCAGTTATAATTAATATAAGCCTCTATATGTTTACTTGAGGGATGCAAGTGAGAGAGATTTGTCCCGACTGAGGGCAGGCCGGAACACAGGAAATAATCTCTCTCCAAAAATATAGCAACACAGTAGCAAAAATTGTGATTATGAAGTAGCATCATCACAACATGAGGAACTGTATTAAAGGTTCGCACGCAGCCTTAGGAAGGTTGAGAACCACAGCTGTAGAGGGTCTCACCAGCCAGCACAGGTGCTCGAGCTGGCCCCATGGAGCCAGCCTATTGTACCTGGGACACTAGCTCAATACATGTTCGCTGATGGAAAGAATTTCCACTTTGGTAATTAAAGACTTTAAAGAAGAGTGTTTGAACCTTGGTATTCCCCGCTTCTCTCTCCATCTAAGAAAACTAACTTGGAGGCCTTCCCCAAATCCGGTTTCTCTAACTAGGCTTGATTTTGAAGCCTCAAGGTGCAGACCCTACCCCCTCCCCATGTTTTTTTTTTTTTTAATGCAAAATGTTTTGTAAAATGTTTAAATAAAGAGATCATTGGGAAGGGTGGAAAAAATGACTCTACACTATCTGCTAAGTCCTTTGATCGGATGAAAAGAATCTTGAGCAGTTAAACAGCTGTGGTGATTAAGACGGGAGGGGACATCACCATGGCAAGGTCCACACAACCAGAGTCGAAGGCAGACCTGCCAGGCTGAGCCGGGCACCATCTAGGTCACCCCTGAGCCTGTGTTCTCATTCTCCCAAGGGTGGCCAGAGAAAACGCAACATGGAGGGATAACACAAGATGCTCTTCTGGGAGCGTGTGTCGGGTACCCCTCCAGGTAGTTCTGCTGGGTGGTAAGTGTTCTGAAGATACGACTGGGTTTAGAGGCAACGCTCAGCTCAAGTGAGTGAATTAGGCAGGCTCGTCCAGCTGATGGGACAGGTTGTGATTTTACTTCATTCTGCATTTCACAGCCTGTGGGTTTTACCTGAAAGGTCATAAGGGTCATAGCAGAGTTTGAGTTCATTGCAGCCATGCTCAAGTCAATGTTTATTCTACACTCTGGTCTTATTTAGCAAACAGAAATTGTGGTTTTTGTTTTTTTCTTTTTTAAGCACATAGGGTCAACTGGAAGGAGACTTTTTAGTAGAAGGAAGCATCAGAGCCCACAGAGCCTCCCACACTTACAACAACACTCAGCCAAGGCTCTAAGGCAGGTGGCCTTCTGTAGGTTAATTGTCACTGAATACGAGGGAGTCTGGGGTGACTCTGCTGCCCTCTGTGTGAGCCCCGACTCACCATGTATGTTCGGAAGGCTGGTCGCTTATGCTGCAAGTTTTCTTGGCCACATTCTTTCTTTACTCAAGTGTTGTGTGTGGTGTTTTGAAGCTCTGCAGAGTAATGTGTAGCTACTGGGCAGTTACACTCTGTGGTGCTGGAGAGAAGTATATAGATAGCCTCTCAGCCCTGAGAAATGCAAGGAATAGATGTTTCCATGAATTCTAGTCACTGTAAAGCCAACCAAATATATGATAAAATTGGATGATTCCTATATGACAGGTTTAGGCAGAACAAATCATCATTAGAAAGCAGAAAATAAAAAGGAAAAAATACAATGAATTTGGATGAGTGTATTTATATGTGTGCTGTAACATAAACCATATAGTCCACTTTAATTATACAGAAAAAATAATATATTGGATGTGAGGGAGAGTGTCATGGTTTTGCTTGAAGTAGAAGAAGACACAGCTCTACCATTGGAGCAGAAACAGAAGAGCTGCTGAGTTCTGGGGGGGAAAACAG